TAAATACATTCAGTACAAATTATTTCTTTAGGAAAGTTTTGAAAATCATTACAAGTGAAATAACTATAGTGTATAAACCTTTCAAAACTACTTTTCCTATTTATTCAAAAATATAAAAGATATATAGTATATTTGTTCTAGCTAGGTAAACCACATTTATATAAATGTATTCATGTGTTTTTAGTTGATGTCATAATTTTACAGAATGGATTCCAATGAGGCTGAGAAATGCAATCTTTGTATTAAAATCATGTTTATTTGAGCATGGCATTGCCTAAATATCAATATTAAGATCTAAAGTATTTTAAGACGTATTATGTTTTGTTACTACTTATTTTTCTTAAATTTACTATTAACTTTCAATTATCCTTGTCATTGGAGTAGAAAAATTGGCATGGACAATTTGGAAAAGTGAATAACCAATTCTTAGATTATTATATTTGATTCTGTAATATATTATGGCTGCAGAGTGCCAAAACAGTTTAAATGTCAATAGCTCAATTGAGCCACTTCTTTGATATTATATAGATTTTGAAAATACCAGTTGTTTAGTGAATTTAATTAAGCCAACTTTACTTATAAGGTTTATGCTTTTTTCTTTGTATTATTCCTTTTTAATTTATGGCTGCTTCTGACAACTGCATTAATTTGTTTCCTTGATCATACTTGGGCTGAATAGAGACAGTAGTGTGTTTGCTGACAGAGAAAAGCTGCCTAAAAACTGGTGAGAAATGGTCTAGGAGAGTAAATTGACTTGTGGAAAATCTTCACTTGAAAGAAAACCCCTGTCAGCTTTTCTCTTTTTCGCCCATACCTTTTGCTTTATGATCATCTCGTTGATGTCTTCAAGATCACCCACCATCACCCTCTGTGATTTTATAACTCGATCAAGCAGAGACAGCCAGTCGGTAAGTTCTGTCCAAGCTCGGTTGAAATCTGCTAGAGCAGGTACCTCCAACAGCAAGGAAGATGGCATTTCTAGTTTGGAGATTGCAGTTTCCTTGGTAACCACAGGTTGTGTCACCAGAGTAACAGTCTGACTAGGAGCTAAATTTTTTTTTCAAAAAGGACAAAAAAAAAAAAAAAGAAAATGAAAAATTAGAAACACAAGCCAAGAAGCTAATTTCAATAACAATAAAACAACCTTAATTGAAAAGCAACCATTTGAACCAAAGTATTATTTATGGCATTATATGTTTTTTCCTAACACTGTGGCTGCTTTACATAGTACTACATGATAGAGCAATTAAAAGATTCAAACTTTTCCTTATTACATATTTCATTAATACACAATCTTTGAAAATGGTTTTGCTTATTGTCATGGACAATTAATTTAAATAGCCTTCTCAATAACAATAACATAGATTATGGAATCGGTAAAAAAAAAAAAAAGATTATTCAGATCTAGCCAGGTGAGTAATTTTTATTTATTTATTTTTTCATTTAATGAAAAAAACAAAAGGAAAGATTGCATAAGGTCTTATTTCTGACTTAATGTTTCCTTGACTATGAAGTAAATTACTTTGGAGGTGGACCCTAGGGAAATATAGCCAATAAAATGTTCTTGCCCTTGTTCTATGTTTTATACTGGGAGCAGTTTACCATTATTTTTTCCTTCAGACTAGTAATAAAGTGGCTAGCAGTGAGGAAAACCCAACTTACATTATTTTTGGAAAATCAGAGCTAGTAAAGTTTTTCTACTTGGATATGAAACACTGTTTCAAGGTCATTAAGCAATATTAAATTAATATTAATAGTATTGAACACTTTAATGTAAGGTAGCCCATGGTAATGGTGAAGATCTGAAGTTCCCGAGTAAAAGCATCTGGGAGAGAATCCTTCTCTATGCCTTAGAAACTCTGTGACCTTGGTTAAGTTAGTTCAACTCTTTGAGCTTCATTTTTCCTTTTCCATAAAGGAGGGACAAAAATAGGGTAAACGTCAGAGGGGCAGTTGTGTAGAGTCAATGACTAATACAAGAAATGTACACAGAACAATGCCAGAAACATAACAATGAAAACATTAGCACAGCTCCTGATACTAGTATAGTAAGTAATGAGGTTAGGTATTACTATTTTTCTAAATACCGGATAAATAAGAAACACAGAGATGAACAAATATGGTGAGCAGTTGGAGATAAGGCATGAGAAATATGTGAAATATTTGGGGAAAACTTAGTCAAAGGTCGATTTGTGGCCCTATACTTATTGAAGGGGGCTGAACTTGCTGGTGAGAATTGATACTAACTACGAACAAACATCTGAGCCTCTGGAGCCTACTACATCCAGTAGACCAGTAAGTAGTAAAGAAATAGTGGTCTATACAATTCAGAAAGGAATCTTTGAGGGAAAGCTGCAAGAATCAACATCTCAGTGGGAGACCTGAGAGGCATGGACAAAAAGGAAAGTGTTCTAGGAACATGAGAAAAATGTGCCATGCTTGCATTCCATTCTGAGGTGGCCATAAATTACTTTTCATGGTTGTATTACTTTCTGCACTTTCAAGGTTGTCTTTTTGTTAGAGAAGATGATGAGACGAATGAAAGAATGCCTCTTGTGTCTCAAGCTTCTTAGGGACAACAAGTGGTTCCTACAAATGAAAGAAATAATCCTGAACAAGGCAGAAGAAAAAAAAAAGCGAGGTGCCAAAGTAAAAATAAAAACTAATGCCAAGAAATAATGACTGAAAGACAATAATACTGAGGAGATAAAGAAGAAATGGTTTCTTGGAGCTATCTCACTGCTCTGAGGTTCTTTGTAGAAAAAAAGAAACATAATATGAAGAAGAAACACGAGAGACAACAAGATCTAAAAATCTTAAAAGGGATTTTGAGAGGGGCTGAATCCCTGGTGAGGATGCATGGGTGAGGATGAAAAGAGAGCTAAATTAAAATATCACTGTAGTTGCTAACCTCAGAATGCCTGGATGACTAGAAAATATGGCCAAATTGTTCCTAAAATAAATACACAGTAGATACTGAGACAACATATGGTCTTTTGGGAGGATTTCAAGGTTCTGCAAAGTGTCAGAATTTTTTTTTTAATTTGACTTGTTGAAAATTTGACCCTTAAAAGAGAGCAG